ATATTAACGTCACTAACACTTCGTAACATAACGAAAAACTTAAAAGCGCGAAAAGAACCCGGTTACTTCAGTCAAAAATCGACATTATCGAGAAACCGCGATTATCTGAACCGCTGTGGGCGTTGTGCCTGGCACAAACATTCCTTGATTTTACCATTTAAATACATGTAAAATGTCCCCACCTCTGTTGCTCACATAGGCTGCTGGTAAAATCCCTCTCTCTCCCCTAGTGCCTGTTGAGAAATGGCTCCGGTTGCGGCGAGAGCTTGGAGACTTATGCAGCGCGAGGTTGCCACATTTCAAATAATTTTTGAATATAAAAAGAAATGCATAAAATAAAATAAAAATATGATAAGACGTTCCAAAAATAAAAAAAATTATTTTTGCATCAAAAATAAGGTAGTGCCATGGCACAGTGGCACTACATCACGAGCCGCCACTGATTGGCACGAAACTATTTTAGAAAAAGCAAATAATACTTATTATTTCAAAAACAATAAACAAATAATAAGGGGCTGAATAAATACTGATTTAGGCATTCAAAACAAAAGAACTTGTCGGTGGTATATTTAGAAGGTTGCGACTATGAAGATTGGAGATAAGGAGGCGAATCGGCATGCTCAAAATACGGTCCCAAAAATCACACGTCAATTGAGCTTTTATAATTAACCGCATGGGCGCTGGTACGGTTTACGTAGTTCAAAATACATGGCTTCTTATGGGAATTATACATAATTTTGTCAAAATAATAAAAATAAACTTGTTTATAGCTAAATAAAGCACAGAACATACTCTTGTATTTATTTCTAAATAAGTCTTACATATTTTAATTGATACATTATTTACTATTTATTCCTATTTAAGTAACATGCAAATTATAAGTGTTGAAATTTGATGGGTAGGGCTAATTATTTTTTAATTAAAGCTAAATAGGACTGAGGGCATACTAAAACACGGTTTAAATGAAAATATTTAGTTAGGGATTTTAGAAAATTTTATGAAAATAATAAAAATCAAATTGTTTATTGCTAACTAAAGTACAGAAAATACTGTTAGTATTAATTATAAATGAGCCTTTATGTTACACATTATTTACTATTCATTATTTAATTTTATCTAAATAAAATGAAAATTAGGTACGACCAAATTTGAAAAGGTTTGCTAAATGGTGAAATTTGGTAAGTACAGTTTTGTGGTAATTTTGTATTCGACAACTACAATTTCATCATCCTGGTGAATAGTTTCTTCAGCAACAAATTCAGTTCGGTTCAATGGTGGTTTTCGTTTTTTCCTAATACTGGACAAGTATGAAGGGAGATTCGGGAATATACATGGTATTTAATCTCGTGTTAGCTGCAAAAGGTTACGCCTTAATGCGGCTATCGTGGGTTCTACCTTCTATCTCAGGGAAGAAAAGGCTTGGTAAATAAACATTAAATATTAAAATAATATTTCTTGATTGATTAGGTTTATTCTTTTAGCAATCAATCGTTCAATAGATATGTACAGAGTAAATCAAAGGGATACTTATAATCATCTATCTCCTCTTATAGCAACAATATTATACAAATTATAAGAGATAAAAGGGAGATAGATAAAACTACCGCTAGTGTCGACACTTTTGGCTCACAGCTAAATTTGATTGAATCCAGGGGCTTCATGCACTTATGGGTAAGTTTAATTATATTTAACTTAGTTAAACAACTATAATAAGTATCTATATATTTCGTTCTATTGTAGGTAGTGACGTTGTTTGGCCATAGACTAAATGGAATAATCCTACCTTACTAGTCCTGGGTACCTGGTAAGCTATAGCTTCTACGTACGGCCTCCTAGTGCTCCACATGCAAGTTATGGGGCCAATGATGAGTAAGCTAGCAGGTGTGTCAGACATGCAGTTGCAGATAAGCTGATATCATGCAGTGTGGATTCGTGTACCACTCCGGATGGTGTTGGTGATGTGTGCGTTTGATGTGTGTGTGGTAAAAGCAGTGGTGCTAAGAAGCAGATCTCAAAGCGAAAGTGAAGTGTAAGCAAAGAGCGAGTGAAGTGAAAGCAAGTGTGTAAATATCTTACTTACTGGCCTAAAATAATTAAAATAAAAGTAAGCCTCAAGTTAAGCTTGATACATGAGCGCATGCAATAAAAGTTCGATAATAAAGGTTATACCCTACCTGAAGGTGTGGGGCGGCCACGTGGATATTGTGATTTTTAAGTGTTGTTTTTATTGAAAATAGATCCAAAAAAATAGATGTGTAATTTTATATCTTTCAATATCTTACAAAAATACAAACGTTTTTATGACTATCAAAATCCTCAAACTTGAGTAAGGACGCCGTCCTAGTTAAGAGTCACAAAACAAAATGGAAGATCTTTTCAAATATCCAGAAAAATGCCTTGTCAGGATCAAAGTTCAAAATTAATTAAAATGTTGTTCTTTTATTGCAAACACTCTAATAAAATATATGTTTCCTACTTTATTAACTAAGCTAATAAAGGATAGATTCATGGTCAAGGTCATAGTACCATTAGTACCACAAAACATAATATTGTTCTTTTGTTTTATATATTGTAATAAATCATATTTTCCTGTATTATGATATTAATTAATAAAGGACAGACACATGGTCAAGGCCATGGTACTATTTATTTGCAGATTCTCATTATTTTGGTAAACCTGAGGTGTCATTTAAAATTATTAACCTAATTCTTAAATGTCAAATATAAATAAACAATTCCCAATTAAGGGGTTAATTTTTATAGAAACATAGAGATTATTAATATGAATTATGAATAGGGTGAATAATTATTTATAAAAAACTGCACTTTAAGAATTCTTAGAAAAATTAACAGAAAGCTGGATATAATTAAAAAGGTAAGCAAAATTCATAGCAAATTAAGAATAATATCGAATTTTAAGTATTTCTATTGAATTGATCACTAAAATATATGAGTGACCCAAAAAGCCGTAACACTCGGTCTTTCCCTTTTTATTTTGTTAACAGTACTATTAGTTAAAATATTCTCATTAAATTTTAAAATATCATCTTCTAAAAAGTGTAGCTCGAATTACGAATCGAACAACCGAAAAAGTCTTTTTAAAAAATATTATTTTTATTTAAAAAATACAATATTAATAATCTTTGAACAACTTGTTGTTACAACGGCAAAAACAGAAGTGAATCTTTTGTGTATTACAATATCTAACAAGTGCTTAGAAACATGATATGTATTTAGATAAGATTCTCCTAGCTTGCGGTATTTCTGGGAATTGTAGGTATCTAACTCTCGCAAACAGAATCATAACTAGACAGTACTTTATCAGCCCTAGGAATCACATGCTGCCATTGTTCTAAACGTTTAAGATCCTATAAAAAATATTTGCAATGACTAAATTGGAGTTTAATAAAGAAAAATAACAGTCGTAACTCTTCATCTAACATAAAAAAGCAAATTTTTTGTTCTAGTAAGTTAAATTTAATGTATAATTATTGTTGTTTGTAAGTCAGGATTTATGACTATTATTTTTTATTATAGAATTTTGTAATTAAATAAACTACACTCCGTAAGATACGGGTTGTGACTATTTTACAATAAATATAAATTATTTAGAAACAAATACATTATTTTACTTACACTAGGAGTTTTAAAAAGACTTGAATTTTTATCTCCTTGTGTTTTCTTTAATTTTATATCGGATTTATATCCCGTTTTTCAACCCGGAACGAAGCAAATCCTGCTTTGCCGTTTTTTGTTACACATTGTTACTTGTAGTCAGGTTCTTTATTTCAGCTTATTTTTATTCTTTTCACTCAATTTTACAAAAATCACTTTAACTCCCATTGACTTACATAGATAAATAGACGTCGTTATTTTGCCACCCGCCAACTACAGTAGGTTTTTGGAACTCCATAAAAATAGGGACGGAAATTTGAAATTTGATCAAGGCCGATTCGCCTCCTTATCTCTAGTCTTCATAGTTGCAACATACAATAAATACGTAAAATCATGAATAAGGGGTTAAATTTAATTATTTTATGTCAAACATAATTAAAATATTATTAAAACCGACTCTAAACCATTTTATTTGAGTGTACCGTAGGGCACAAGGTGTGAGGTAGTATAGTTTCATTTATTGTATTTTTGTTGCTATCCAATTAGCGGGAAGTATTTTTAACTCCACTGAGTCTATTTTGAGTACACTCTGGTGTACTACAAGGTCGCAGAGCAAACTGCGTTAGCAAAACTGGCGTCTGAGCAACCCTTGTTCTGATTTTACGATATCAGCGCCAAACACGACTTCCTTCTTTACAGCAGGTTAGGCCAGAAGCCTGTTGGTATTTTAATTTATTTCAAACTCAACTTTTAAAACTACAACTATTTAACTGATATTATCAACCTAAAACGTCTATCATAAAGCTTATATAGCTCGTTTGAATCTTCTAGAAACTTCTCGAACTGTCCAGATGTTTCTTGACACGGAATGATATTTCTAAACATTTCTAGACTATTTTCTTTTCTCATTCTACTCGTACTCTTATTTATGATGACCGCACCACACTGTAGAGTGATGGGTGGTAACATTGCAGTTATTTTTGTATTCGTACGTTTTCTAGAACACCCGCAGGCCACTGCAGGGTGTAGGGTCACAATATTATTATTAATCGGTGTGTTGAACAACATCGTTAATTTAAATAAAATTTCGAATATTGTCCTGCATTTACCCTTACTAAAAATAAAGCTACTTAAAGAGTATAATGTGTGTTTTATAATGGTAATAATTGTATTAGGTATTCCATGTAATTAGACTTGAAGCGTGTTTGGGATAAATAAATAAATAAATAAATAAATAAATAAATAAATAATAACGCACTTGTCAAGCGTAAATATACAAAATGTATACAATTTCGTAAATGTTTAGAATTTCGTAAAAGTTTAAAATTTTATAAATGCATAGCATTTCGTAAATTCATAAACTTTATATTTTTTTGCAAACTTACAGATATTCCACTGTGTTTCTTAATGTCTTCTGCACTAGCATCAAGTAAAACTGTTAGCAATTCTTGAGAAGAATTCTTATCATCAATATTATTATTAATCAATTGGCCTAATTGAAAAGCAAAATATCTGGGATGTTTCATAAACATTTTAGAGTTTAAAGAGGATCCACTTTCTTGAATTGCAGAGCGAAATAAACCTAAAATAAAACAAATATTGGAACAAATTTAGTAAGTAATAGTATTCTAATATTTAATTTTACCTTTAGATCGTTTACTTAAAATATGATGTCCAACGCAACCAGCTCCAGCACTTTGTCCTCCGAGAGTAACTTGTTTCGGATCACCACCAAATAAGTTTATATTTTTTTGAATCCACTGTAAGGCCAATATTTGATCCTTTATTCCTAAATTTCCTGGCAAGACATCATCTTCAGTACTAATAAAGCCTAGAATTACAAAATTAATTATATCGTGTTAGGATTAAGTCTTATCCTCGGCTTGTCAACTCGTTTATTTGAAAAATTAGAAAAAAACTTTTGAAAACATACATTTTTATCTTAATGGAGCCTTTTAATGATATAATCTACTTTCCCTTTTATCCTCTCCACGTGACAGCCAACCACATTTTTTGTAATAGAAATGTGTATGTTATTGCAAGGAAACGGTAATTTTTCTACGACCACTATTTTGTCTTATGAGAAGTGCCTACATTATACGCGTGTGGATAAGAATCTACTTTTAAACTTATTATGTAAATATGTACTTTCCACATCAGCTGTCAAATATGTCCATCATTTTTATTTTAATCTATGTAATGTCCATATAAATAATGGAATAAAGTAAATTGTTATCATTGATTTTTATACTTAGATTCTAGATATTTATTTAAAACAATTTATTTTATTAAAATAATTTCTAGATAACTACATTATTTTGGTTTTTTTTTGTTTATATATTTAACTAGATATTTCATGTGACATAAGCTTGATAGCTCAGTTTATAGAGCGTTCAACTTTATCGACTTTATCAACTTTATCAACTTTATCAACTTTATCAACTTTATCAACTTTATCAACTTTATCAACTTTATCAACTTTATCAACTTTATCAACTTTATCAACTTTATCAACTTTATCAACTTTATCAACTTTATCAACTTTATCAACTTTATCAACTTTATCAACTTTATCAACTTTATCAACTTTATCAACTTTATCAACTTTATCAACTTTATCAACTTTATCAACTTTATCAACTTTATCAACTTTATCAACTTTATCAACTTTATCAACTTTATCAACTTTATCAACTTTATCAACTTTATCAACTTTATCAACTTTATCAACTTTATCAACTTTATCAACTTTATCAACTTTATCAACTTTATCAACTTTATCAACTTTATCAACTTTATCAACTTTATCAACTTTATCAACTTTATCAACTTTAACAACTTTATCAACTTTATCAACTTTATCAACTTTATCAACTTTATCAACTTTATCAACTTTATCAACTTTATCAACTTTATCAACTTTATCAACTTTATCAACTTTATCAACTTTATCAACTTTATCAACTTTATCAACTTTATCAACTTTATCAACTTTATCAACTTTATCAACTTTATCAACTTTATCAACTTTATCAACTTTATCAACTTTATCAACTTTATCAACTTTATCAACTTTATCAACTTTATCAACTTTATCGACTTTATCGACTTTATCGACTTTATCGACTTTATCGACTTTATCGACTTTATCAACTTTATCAACTTTATCAACTTTATCAACTTTATCAACTTTATCAACTTTATCAACTTTATCAACTTTATCAACTTTATCAACTTTATCAACTTTATCAACTTTATCAACTTTATCAACTTTATCAACTTTATTAACTTTATCAACTTTATCAACTTTATCAACTTTATCAACTTTATCAACTTTATCAACTTTATCGACTTTATCGACTTTATCGACTTTATCAACTTTATCAACTTTATCAACTTTATCAACTTTATCAACTTTATCAACTTTATCAACTTTATCAACTTTATCAACTTTATCAACTTTATCAACTTTATCAACTTTATCAACTTTATCAACTTTATCAACTTTATCAACTTTATCGACTTTATCGACTTTATCGACTTTATCGACTTTATCGAGTTTATCGAGTTTATCAACTTTATCAACTTTATCAACTTTATCAACTTTATCAACTTTATCAACTTTATCAACTTTATCAACTTTATCAACTTTATCAACTTTATCAACTTTATCAACTTTATCAACTTTATCAACTTTATCAACTTTATCAACTTTATCAACTTTATCAACTTTATCAACTTTATCAACTTTATCAACTTTATCAACTTTATCAACTTTATCAACTTTATCAACTTTATCAACTTTATCAACTTTATCAACTTTATCAACTTTATCAACTTTATCAACTTTATCAACTTTATCAACTTTATCAACTTTATCAACTTTATCAACTTTATCAACTTTATCAACTTTATCAACTTTATCAACTTTATCAACTTTATCAACTTTATCAACTTTATCAACTTTATCAACTTTATCAACTTTATCAACTTTATCAACTTTATCAACTTTATCAACTTTATCAACTTTATCAACTTTATCAACTTTATCAACTTTATCAACTTTATCAACTTTATCAACTTTATCAACTTTATCAACTTTATCAACTTTATCAACTTTATCAACTTTATCGACTTTATCGACTTTATCGACTTTATCGACTTTATCGACTTTATCGACTTTATCGACTTTATCGACTTTATCGACTTTATCGACTTTATCGACTTTATCGACTTTATCGACTTTATCGACTTTATCGACTTTATCGACTTTATCAACTTTATCAACTTTATCAACTTTATCAACTTTATCAACTTTATCAACTTTATCAACTTTATCAACTTTATCAACTTTATCAACTTTATCAACTTTATCAACTTTATCAACTTATCAACTTATCATTTTATTAACTTATCAACTTATCAACTTTTTCAACTATACATCATTAATAATGAATAAGTTCTTGCTCACGGTTGTTCATCTTATTATTTATTTCATTTAAAAAATAAATTGACGAAAAACATTATTGTATTTTAATATTTTTTTGTATCTAATATTATTTTATTTTTATCTTTATATGAAAGGGTTTGTAAATGGAACCCTTTGTTTTATTCATTAAGACATCTTGATTCTTAATTGAACCATTATAGAAAGATTTCAAGGGTTAATATTTTTTTGATAAAATTATTTTGTCATCGTGCAAAAGTGACTTTTTACACTTGTAATGTAATACACCCTATGTATGAGGAATTCGGCAATATGACTGTACATCGCGTTACCTATATAGTCTATTTTTATGTATGAGAGAGTATTAAAATAATAAAGCGTTCGTAATCCATAGGCGTATCACTTCTTTTAGTAGACAGTTAAAATATTTTTTGAAGTTATTCCTCGAGTATACACTTATATTTTCACCTAATTAACCTGCTTATAACTTCTAAACAGCTGAAGGTAAAAAAGTGCAATTTTTTCTAAATTGTTTTATTTTTCCACAAGGTATGTTAAGAACATTGTGTCAAACTGGTTATGTAGGTAAACTTTGACTTTTAAACAACGTTACGTTCATAAATAATAATTTTAATATAAAAACTACTTCTTACCTACAAATCCAAATCAGAATCTAAATCAGAAGATGAACTGTCGCAACCAATATTTACAATGAGTGGCTCGACCATTTCATCAGTAATATTGTCCAACTTCCACATTTTCTCTTCTTTAATCGTATGATTTACTGCCTTTTCCCAGTTTTCAGGCTTCACATTATTTACAGCCTCCAAAAACAACTGTTTAACATCACTCATTTTAAAAGAATTATTTTTTCTTGAAACTTCTCCCTTTATCTGTGCCCATATCAATTCAATCGGGTTTACTTCGCAATGATATGGTGGTGATCTAACCACCGTCATCCCACGATTTTTTGCAATTTCATCAATTTCATATTTTTTGAATTTTTCTTTATGAAGGGAACACAAATGATACAGTTCTTTTCTCACAGAACCGGGATTCTTTGAATTTAACCAATTCTGTAAATCTTTTTTTAACCACTTGGTTGTGGGCATTTTTTCTATAAGTCTTGAGTGATAACTTGCATTATCCATTACTATTATACAGTTCTGAGGAAGAAGATCTAAAATTTGTTCGAACCACTCTTTAAAGACATCAGCATTCATGTTCTCATGGTAGTCACCGGTACGAGTAGATTCAAAAGTCAATAAAACACCTTTAACAAAACCGTTTGAACTACCGATGTGTACTATTATTAGTCTGCGCCCCTTTCCTGATGGTGGATTTAAACCAGTAGATAAATTATTTAAAAAAGCCTGTCTTCGACTTGTAACAGTTTCATCTTGCCAAAATTTATTTGGTTTATGTCAATCGTTGATCCATGTTTCATCTAAATAAAATATATTTCTTCTTTGGTTTCTCATTTTTTTTATAGTCCTTAGGTAATTTCTTTTCCATACTACAATATCGCTTCTATTAAAATAGATTTTTTGGAATGCTTTTTCCATAGAAAACCTATTTCTTTTAAAAGTTTCCATAGTGTGCTTCGACTCATTTCATCTCGAACCGTGGCAAGAAATTTGTCTACTGTCGGAAATTCTTTTCTAAAGAAGAACGCATGCACTTTCCTTCGAAGTCTTTCTTTCAAAAGATTTTCTAATTGAAATTTTGGTTTTCCTGGAGCTTTACGTGCTGTTTGCAACTCGCCACATTTCTCTTCTTTAACAACTCTGTAAATCGTAGATTTCCCAACACCAAGCCTATTACTAACTAATTCCACTGCGTCATCAACACTTTTACATAAATGTTTGTCTGTAAATGATTTAAAACAATTATTAATGTTTCTTCATTAACTGTTAAAGGACCGATTTTTTATCGTTTACGCGGCCCTTCCAAATTTTCCATGATCACACTAGAATTCACACTGCACCTTGCATGTTGCAACTAAACGACATTTAGTAAACTGTCAAGAATACACAACTTGGACCGCCTTACTAAATGAAAAACCTATAATCGCATTTTCGGTGAAATTTGTTGGGAAGGTATTTATCTACTTATAATTCGATTACTGTAAGAAATTCTTGGAATTAAAATAAAACAAAATTGGCAAATAGGTACTTATTGAAAATAATCTTAAGATACGGCTATGTAATCTTTAATACACAGGGCTTTTGGCCTGTCCAAACCTTTTTCTATATTTCTTTACAGCTTATGTTTATAAAGGACCAATAAAAGACCCAAAACTTGTAATAGCTCAGGTACATTTATTACAATTTTAGGAAATATTTAGATTATTCTGTAAAAATATTTAAAATGACCGTACTAAGTTTTGCATTAGAAATGCTGTTTTATTACTCTCTCATACATAAAAATAGACTATAGTAGACTACCACAATTATAGATAGTGACTCATGTTGTAAAGAAATTTTATAGACCAATCAAATTAAACGTTTACCTCGTACAGAAAAAGTTATTTTTAATAGTTGTTAATTTTTTGAATACTGACAAAAGGAGAAATATTCAGTATTAATAAACAAATTAGTAGGGTATTACAAAATATAAACGAAATATATTTCAGATTTTCACACACATTTCAAAAGATAATATTTACCGAACGCCCCCAAACGGTAGTTTAAGGTAACTACAACAATTCCATAATCCATAAAAAATTTTGGTCCAAATGATTCAAATGTCCCATCATTTCTGAAGAATATTCCTCCATGTATATACACGTATACCGGCAAAAGTTTTTGGGTAGATCCAGGATTCTGAAAAGTATTTGTTTATTATGCGTTACTCTGCTCATTAAAAATAAAATATTGTTACGAATAAATATAACACCCTGTAAATAAATATGTTATGATTTGTAAAGTTTTGTCCAAGGCCAGGCGCGCTAAAACATAAATATAAATATTCAATAAAATAATAAAACGTGTAGTTGGACAAGGTTTTATTAAATCATAATATTAAACAACATGGTCAAAAAAGATCAACAAGTAGACTCTTGAGATTTTCAAGTGGGATAATTCGGGGAGTTCCTTTTGGCCTACGTTGACGATCGGTCGAGTTTATTTGATTAAAGGATATTCCTTTTTTTGTGTCGGTCACGCGAAATCGCGGTTAGTTCTTTTTGTAAAGCCACACAGTGGGAAAAGTAACCTGTGCCTCAGCCAGCCCTGCAGCCCAAAGGATTAAAATATAATGTTGCTGTAAGTAATAGTTTTGAGTAGTAATATTTAGTTTTGTGTAGTCAGCAAAGACTACTGAATTGCTGAAGCAATAATAGTTGTTTCTATATTTGTTAAATAAATCATAGTTATTTGTTTTACGCTTGTTGTTTCAATTTTTTTGGTTTATGAAACCTCACGATAATTCAAAGGCGGTAGTACTGGCTTAGTCAGATCTCTGAGAGAGAAAGAGAGATATATTGCCAAAGGGAATAGTCCCTGTAGGGCAAACCCTTTTCTCGCCCCTATGAATCATCGTCAGGAAGTTAAGGTTCCATCTGAACTTAACCCTCTAGCTGTTTGTTGTCTAGAGGCCAATTTAAATACAAATGGGGCCCCTCTATACAACTCGTGGTTACCGCTAAGAGTGGGCTTAAGGGTCAGTCAAAAAGGCATATAATCTCATTCTTAACAATATTATCCACATTTTTTATAACTATCATCAGAAAGAGTTCACTTATACAGGGTGGCCACTTTTTCATTGAAATGTATTGCTATCTCGTAAACCGTTGGTAACACAAAGTTGGTTAAATGGGGAAAAAGTTGCATATTTCGAAGTCCAATCTGAGGGCGTTTTGAAAACTAAAATATCAGGTCCGGTTTCCGAGATATTCGATAAAAAACAAATAAGTACCATTTCTTTATTCCGCTACAGAACGTTTATTTGCAAAAATAGACAAAAACTCATTTGGAGTTTTTTGTTTATATCAATTTGTGCGTATGATAGCGTATTTAGTTTTTTATCCGACGTTTCGTAAATGCAGGACCACCATCAACTTCTTTATTTGAATATGGACCAATATTTTCCTGGCTCATAATTTTAATGCATGTTCAATGTTGAATACAATGATGTAATAACATATTGTGATTAGTTAACATTTCGGAAGATTTGAACATCATCAGGTAAGTTTACAAGTACGGACCTGTGTTTTGTTAGTTAAAAATATTTGAATTAGTAAATGATGTATTATCGTTGTAAGAGATTATAAATAATAAATACCAAAGTCAAACTTTTAACTTTACATCAAGACAACATGTTCGTTTGCACATTTGCTAAAAAATATTTTCCATTTTTATGGTTTTTGCACTTGACCAATCCCAATATTAATCTATAAATAAAGTACATCCCGATTTTTAAATACATAAAGTTAGCCTGATTTGTCATATTTTGTTGGATTTTTTAAACTGATATGGTTCCTCATAGTATAAAAAAGAAAAAGTTAACAAACTGCAGATAGATACCTACTTACAATAATAATTGTATATCTAGCAACACGTCTTGATTATTATACAGATAAATTTAAATCAAGTTAACCTGGCATGTCACATTTTATTATTGTATATTTGACAGTCTGGTATCGGATAAAAGCATTGGTATATTTTTAATTAGGGTATTGAAAATATGGTTCGTTACAGTAGAAGTGAGAAAAAAGATATGTACGATGTGTACATAAAATGTAACAGAAATAGTGGAGAAGCTGCAAAAAGATACCTTCAGTTGTATCCAGGAAGGAGGCAACCATCTTTATTAATTTATTATAGGATAGCGTTAAATATGGCTCACGAAGGAAATATTGAAAAAAAACGTGGTAAATATTTAAAACGTAATACAATAAATGAAATAAATGTTTTGTCTCAAGTTTATATCAACCCTGAAACGTCGTCTAGAGCAATAAGCCGAGAATGTGGAGTTTCTGCAAGTACTATGAAAAACATTCTTAAAAAACATAAGTACCATGATTACAAATTCCAAACTGTACAAAAGCTACATCCTGGAGATTATAATCGTAGAATAGAATGGGCCCGTTCACTTTTATTTTTGAATGTGAATTATTTATATATTTATAAAGATATTAAACTCTTTTGTCTGGTGGTACTTTTCCCGTTAAGATATTTTTGCTAGAAGTAAGGGAATTCCCATAAAATTCTTTCAGTGACTCATTGCGTCAGAAAACCCCTAATTCCCTTCAGGTCTCGTATCGGTTAATAGTTAAAAGGGCCTGGTTGTCGGATGTATCATTGCACCACCATTCCTCTTCTGCATTTATTAAAGAAATTTACATGATAAAAATATATTATTTTTTAAAAATAATGTGTTTATATTTTCAGATAAAGCTGGAAGCCCTACCTTTTTTAAATTTTAATAAAAACAATTAGTATTACTCAAGCTGAATATTACCAGATCGAAATTTTATTTGAGAAAATGTATCTGGTAAACGTGACAACGTTGTAAGTACTTCTAAATAGTGTTGTCTACACACACTTCTAGAAATAAATGCAATGTTGCCACGTTTACCAGATAAATATTGCAAATCAAATTTCTACTATTTGATTATGGTCTGGTTAATTTTCAGCCTGAGTAATAATAATTGTTTTAATTAAAAAGTAAAAAATAAGCTCGCAGCTTTAAATCTGAAAATATAAGTTCATGATTTTTAGAAAAATAATGGAATTTTACTAATTAAATTACATATATAAATGCAGAAATGCTATATTAGAGATACTTCCGACAACCCCGCCGTCTTTAAGCATAACCGATACGAGACGTGAACGGAATTAGGGATTTTCTGACGCAATGAGTCACTGAAAGAATTTTATGGGAATTCCCTTACTTCTAGCAAAAATATCTTAACGGGAAAAGTACCACCAGACAAAAGAGTTTAATATCTTTATAAATATATAATTAATTCACATTCAAAAATGAAAGTGAACGGGCCCATTTTGCCGTTGGTATAAACGAAAATTAAATAATGATGTATCCTTTCATGGACGAATTTTATGGACAGATGAATCGACATTTACTAATAGTGGAATATTTAATAGAAAAAATAAACATTTTTATGCCACCGACAACCCACATTTAATTCAAGAAGTAGGACCCCAAATTAGATTTTCAATAAATTTATGGTGTGGAATACTCAATAATAAAATAATTGGTCCTATTTTTATTGACGGAAACCTCAACCAACACAACTATTTACAATTGCTAGAAGATATGTTAGATAATCTTCCTTTAGGTGATCGAAGAAATATTTATTTTATGCAAGATGGCTGTGGGCCACATAATGCTGCATTAATCAGAAATTATTTAAACGAAAGATTTCCCAGGAGGTGGTTTGGTACACATGGACCTATTCGATGGCCCCCTAGATCACCCTGCTTAAATCCTATGGATTATTTTGTAAGGGGATATATCAAAAATAAAGTATATTATGATGGTATTCCAAATGACTTAAATCAATTACGAGATAGGATAATTAATGCGTTTAATAATATCACTCCACAAATCGTTTCTGCCAGCATAGCTCAAATGACAGACCGTATTGACTTATGTATTCAAGAAGAAGGAGGACATTTTGAGCAACTACTGTAGTTTTTCTCTTATCGTTAATCATTGTTTTCATTTATTTGTTTCTGACGTGATTAAGTAGTTAAATACATATTTTTTTTTATTAAATTATTTTAAGCATTTAAAATGTAGTTGTGTATTTCAAATAATTTATAATACAGGTCTGTACAAGTAAACGTACCTGATTTCTTACACTGATAATACATCATTTACTAATTCAAATATTTTTAACTAACAAAACACAGGTCCGTACTTGTAAACTTACCTGATGATGTTCAAATCTTCCGAAATGTTGACTAATCACAATATGTTATTACATCATTGTATTCAACATTGAACATGCATTAAAATTATGAGCTAGGAAAATATTGGTCCATATTCAAATAAAGAAGTTGATGGTGGTCCTGCTATTACGAAATGTCGGATAAAAAAACTAAATACGCTATCATACGCACAATTTGATATAAAACAAAAAACTCCAAATGAGTTTTTGTCTATTTTTGCAAATAAACGTTCTGTAGCGGAATAAAGAAATGGTACTCATTTGTTTTTTATCGAATATCTCGGAAACCGGACCTGATATTTTAGTTTTCAAAACGCCCTCAGATTGGACTTCGAAATATGCAACTTTTTTCCCATTTAACCAACTTTGTGTTACCAACGGTTTACGAGATAGCAATACATTTCAATGAAAAAGTGGCCTTCCTGTATACAATAAGGAGGCCCATGAAGTTAGTAACGCCAATACGAATTTTTATAAAAATAATTTGGAGCACCCAGAACCGAAAACTATATAGTTAAATATTATGATTTTTTAAATAACTTTTAGTAGGTATGCAACTTGGATGAGGGCTTTAGGAAGAAATCCTAAGACTGCCATAAATGCCCATTTTAGGGCACATTTCATTGAAAGTGACTTCATTCTAGCAGGAATTAGGAAACGTTTAAAAAACATGCTGTACCAGCTATTATTTTAAGACCTCTTTTCTTTAAGAAGTTAATATTACTTCATTTTAAGGATATATAAAAATAGTTTTTAACTTGTGCCCGTATCATTAAAAGATGAAATCTCACCTGTATCTATGTTGATATAATGCGAGAATTCAATTTGGCTTACTCTTGTTAATATATAATATTTTAAATATAAAGTTTACTGGAAGAAGATTATTTAAATATACACTGACCGGGAAAACAAGTACAAAAAAAATTCACTGGCTCCTGGACTAGTACTGTATCGAAGGAATTTTATGAATGAAACAAATTACGACCCTACTTACAAATACATATAGTCCAGTCATTTAAGCTTAAATTAGGTAAGAATCTCGGAATTCAAGATACCCAGCTGTAAGTCTGTAAATACTTGTATATTGACACCCTAAAAGTTGTCTTAAAACCTACATATGGTAGGGTGTACGCAACTATTAAATTTCAAGGTCAAAGGTCACAAAAATCGGTTTTTTGCGCTTTTTTTTGTAAATATCTCATTTCCTATGGGTTTTTTGCTATTTGTATTTATTATCAATATTGTGAGGAAATGGAGAAGTTCTGTAATCTCCTTGGAGTCGACCGAGCAACACGTAGATTCCAGAGACTCAAGAGTGAAAAAAGACAATACTGACGTAAATATACTATTTGATTGGTTTAAACTCCATGATCCTTTTTCAAATACTACGCAGTTAAAATCGATAGCTTCTGGAGTTGTTGGAAATGAGCAAATTAACTGCCATAGAGCTTACGAAATTAGATTAGAGTCTATGAAGAAGATCACCGGCTTATCATTTAATGAAATAAAGTTGAAACGTTCCGAAAAAGTAATGCCGCTTTCCAGTGTTAACAAATCTGTAAAAATAAATGATTTTAAAGTTGCAGTGGATCCATTATTACTCTTCCAAAGAATTACTGTCAGCAAACAATTTGAAAGTTATCTTGAAGAATATCTTCAATATGAATTGAGTCCGCATCCAACAGCTCTATTTGATAATGATGGCATGAGAAAAACAAAAAAATCGTCATTGTATGACAATATGAGCCCAATTGATTTTGTTCTCAATGAAAATAATGTGACGTTCATTATTGATGGCGGATTTCTTCTTCATCATGTTGTATGGAGCAGAGAAGATAATTTTTCTATTATTTTTGATAAATACATGAATTATTTACAAAGGCATTACAGTTCCAAAATAATTGTAGTATTTGACGGATATTCAGACTACAGTAAGAACGTAAAAGCTATGGAGCAGCAGAGAAGAACTGCTGCACTTTCAAAAACGTATGAAGTCTGTTTCGATAAAACAATGGTTGTACCAGTTACTTAAGAAAAACTCTTATCAAATCGAAATAACAAAGATATGCTCATTAATATGTTAATTGAAAAATTACAAGCTGCAAATATTACTACTAAACAAGCTAGAGATGATGCGGATGTTCTTATTGTTGAAACTACAATTGAAGAATCAAAGTTTGAAAAAGCTGCAGTTATAATAGGACAAGATATTGATTTACTTGTCATTTTAATTGGGCGTACACTGTCTTAAGAACAAGAAATTTTCTTTAAAAAGTTGGGAAAGGAAATGTAAAAACGGAGATATATTCGACTAAAAGTTTTGATAGTTATCCTCATTCCAAAACGCATATCTTATTTCTGCACGCATTAAGTGGCTGTGACACAACTTCTGCGCTTTTTGAAAAGGGAAAAAAATAATTTTTAAAAGTTTTTGAGAAACTGACAAATTTGGAAGAAAATTGTTCGGCCCAGAGATTATTAGAAAGTGGAACTCAAACCTTATTAGCAATCTATAATGCTTCGAAATCTGTGAATAGTCTCGATCATCTTCGTTATATGCATTACGTCAAATCTACAAAACTTAATAAACCTGTGCAGCTTTCAAATATTCCACCAAGTGCAGCTGCTCATCAACCTTTCAAACGTGTATATTATCAAGTTCAAACTTGGTTAGGGCATGATTTGGAACCCCAGGTATGGGGTTGGGCAATGCGAAACGATTTTCTGGAGCCTATCATGACAATTTTACCACCTGCTCCAGAAGATTTGCCAAATACAATTTTCTGCAACTGCAAGAGTGGTTGTGGTTCGCGATGCGGATGCATGAAAGCGGACTTGCAATGCTCTTTAGCTTGTGGCCAATGTAATGGGCAAGCTTGTCTCAATGCCCTACCATATCAGAGCGACATTAACGAAGATGGAGCCTTTGACCCCGAAATCATGGAAGAACTTGAGACAAATGTCGTTGAAGACGATAATGAAGACCAGTTTGAAATTTACCAGCAGCCGGAAGACGACGATGAAGAGGAAGAAGATGATTAAAATTATAAATTGTAGTTTCTGTACCCTTTATTCCATTTTTTTACTTTTAATAAAAATAAATGTATTGAATGATATTTTTTAATAAAAAGATTAATTCATAATTTATTTGTTTTTTTTTTCATCATGTAAGAAGTTATTAATATTAATTAGGTTAAAATTCAAATATAATTCCTATATTTTCATTAACAATTCTGCAATTACATGGGCAGGTAAGTGTTGTTAAATAAATTAATACTGAATATAAAGTGGATAGTTTGGGAAAAAAATGATAAAATATAATATAATAGCTAATAAAAATTGACAAATATTTATAATCATTGATTTACCGATAGTTCATCAACTAACTATACAGGGTGTTTCCGAACTTGGCGTCCAAATTTGTAGGGGTGGTAGTTCGCATAATTTGAGAGTGATCGGCAGATTTAATTTTTCTAAAAAAATTATAATATACAAAATAGAGCCATTATAAAAAAAATCAAAGAGCAGGTCCTACCCTGAGCGCGTAGCTGTTTATAATTTTTAATTAATTATTAATTATTTTTATTTTAAATATTTTGGAAAAATGAAATCTGCGAATCGGTCTCAAATTATGCGAACTACCACCCCTACAAATTTGGACGCCAAGTTCGGAAACACTCTATATATGGCGCGTTTTCGACCAGAGGCACCGGTTGACCAGAAGTGATGCTGTGACTGCGCGCTCTCCGCCCTCTATCTCGAAAACGGTTCACCGTATGAAAAATTTGTAGAGAATTTTGTATTCTACAATATTGATAATAAATACAAATAGCAAAAACCCATAGGAAATGAGATATTTACAAAAAAAAGCGCAAAAAACCGACTTTTGTGACCTTTGACCTTGAAATTTAATAGTTGCGTACACCCTACCATATGTAGGTTTTGAGACAATTTTTAGGGTGTCAATATACAAGTATTTACAGACTTACAGCTGGGTATCTCGAATTCCGAGGTGAACTTACTATAATGACTGGACTAATACTACAATAACGGTCAAGTCTACTTATACTGTTTTCAGACTTAATTTTTTTTTTTGGAGGGTTGGGATGGGTGTGGGTGTCGGGGTGCGTGTGGGTGTGTGGGTGTATTATTATTATTTTATTTGACGTGTGACAAATTGAAAATGATTAAATTTAGAATAAAAACCAAAAAAGGGTAAGGTAAAGTATCATAATATTTTTAGACAAAAATCAATTATCAATCATCATGATCAGTTTTATTTACGATATTTACTACATTTTTTTTAATATAATAGGATAAAAATTCAAAACTCACCTCTGGGGTGTAAACATTAAGATACAAGCAATCTTCAGATTCTCTTGGATCATTTTTATTTAACTGTGTACAAACTTTGGTATTTTTTGTAGTATTTATTACTCCTTGCCAAGGTACAGGTTCAATAGCTTCCTAAAAATAAAGGTTCCTTATAAACTCATACAATACATATATACATGTTATATAAAAAATTCACACTATATATTATATAATAGTAAATTCTCTAGAGTTAAATAATGCTTAGTTGCAATTCGTAGAATGGTTATCATTGACCTCTTAGGATTATATTCAGCCAAGTTGCATTTCTTGTAAATACAACACTTTCGTCACCTTACACCTTTTTGATATTTCTTTTGTTTTACCTACCTTATAAATTGGGGTGACACAAACTTAAATCTTTAGTTATTTCATAACAACTCACCTACCATAAACATATTATACTTTAAAGTAATAAAATATTTTTTAAAAAACTATTAGTGTTATTCAAGATATCACATACATTCCAATGAATAAAAATACAGTACATATTATTTTGTATTAGGCATAGTCGTGCTTTCACAGCCAACATGTGGCAACTACGATATTCCCACTACCGCTATGTTCTCTGGCTTTGTGACTGACATTCGGTTCGGCTAATATCCCACCATCATATCTTCTACTTCTAGTCGACAATTGGCTGTCACCTTGTTGCCATTTTATTAACTAATTCGAGAGACGCTAAGATGGTGGTTCCCACCTTATCGAGACTGAGGCCCACAAGGGTAAACTCGTAGCGTAACAAAAACGAGAAATGATTTAACTGATATAGAATACCGATAGTAGTATTAGCACGTTGAATTTTTTGGTTTGTGAAGCATTGGCATTACTTAGGTTAAACCATGTGACGATTTTCACAAGCCTTGATTTTTAAAACCATTCTATATCGCCTTTTGATTAGGGTTTAAAAACTTGTTTGAGCAATTTATCCAATATTAGTTGGCCCTTTACCACTTAAGCCTGCTCATGTAAAATATTTGGGCTCATTACTTCGCCTATTTATATAATATTAATAAAGGACAGAAGGATGAGTATTGCAACTATGTTAAAAGAAATAAATTGGCTTTCAGTTCAGAATTATGTTCAGTACATGACTGATATTTATTTATAAAATAAAAATGACATAGTACCATCGCATCAGATCTATTAGAAAAAATTCAATATAATTCGCAATATCACAACTATAATACAAGAAACCAATCTGACTTTTATGTACGGCAAGCCATACCAAAAGTTCCCAAAATACAATTTTTATTAAAGCTTTAAAAAATATAATAGACTGCTTACAGAAATTAAAAAAAAAAAACAATAAATGTATTCAAAAGTAACCTCAAACAATACTTGATAAATAAACAGAACGGATATACTTTCTTGGGATAATACTCTTTAAACCTGCCATTTTTAAGTATTTCCCTTAATTTATTGTTATTTTACCCCTCGTTTTATCCGTATTTATTATAGATTATTTGTTTTGAGATTATGTACTTTATTTTAAAAATTACTTGTTTAAAAAATTACTTGATGTTATATTAATACCGCTTACTGTTGTTATGAAATTCCTAAAGCCTACCCTGTGTACGCTCGACCTTCATATTGCAACCGACTCGTGCTCGAGGCGACGGAATGTTCTGGGAATGCCGCTGAGGCTCGAGAAACAGCTGGAACGGCGGAGAGTGACGTTTAGTCATAGGAATGGAATGTTCGAGACGACCGTCGAGAACCTCTAGCATTTTCCAGTAGCGGAGTTGGACTAATATAAATAGCCGACGTATCAGCGCCGAGTTTAGTTTAATATAGAACATTGTATTGAAAAGTTCAAGTGTAAGAAATAAATTAAAATTGTTAGTTAGTGTTTAAATATTATATAAATTAAATAGTTAAATAAATAAACTTTAAATAAATTCGACTTTCGTCACATTGGTGTTAGAAGTGGAACTATAAATAAATAGTGGACAATAATGGCTAAAAGACTGTATGATCTAAAAGTGACCGAGCTACGTCGCGAGTTAGAAGATCGTGAACTGGAGACGACAGGGAAGAAAGCAGAACTCGCAGAGCGGCTTAAAGAAGAATTAATAAGTGAAGGTTTGGATCCGGAAACGTACCTTTTTTCGGATGATACATCTTCTGATATAATTTCTTCAATTTCTTCCGATATGGAAAGATCTCCATGAAAACCGATATTTCTTCTAATATTTCCTCAATGGAAAATAAAGTTTTTTCAGAAGTATCTTCCATAAAAAGTGACATTACTTCCTTAGAAAGTAAAGTTTTGTCTGATATTTCTTCCTTAGAAGAGAAGGTAAAGTTTCTTCTGATATCTCTTCTTTAAAAAGTGAAATTTCTTCTATGGAAAATAAGATTTCTTTCGTTGAGAATAAAATAATGTCTTCCGTTGAGGAGAAAATAAAAGAGATGAAAAAGAAGATAGAAGAACTGGAACATTCAGACTCGACCAAGGACGGTGAAATAAAGTGTCATAAGGTGGAGTCGAAGTTAAAATAATTGAAAGGAGCTGTAAACTCTGCTCGTGTCAAAGCCCCAACTTTTGACGGGAAGATGTCTTGGACGAACTACCTTAAGCAGTTCGAAACAGCTGCCAGAGCAAACGAGTGGTCTGAACGAGAGAAGACAATAAATTTGACCATCGCCCTTCGAGGAGACGCTTTGGATGTTCTTCAAAATATATCCGTGGAAGAGACAGATGATTTTGAACAACTGAAAAAGAGACTCAACATGCGATATGACCACGAAAATTTGGAGCATCTTTACCAGTCACAGTTAAAGAATCGCAAACAGAAACGAGACGAGACTCTTCAAGAATATGAAGTAGATATTGCCAGGTCGGTGCGATTTGCTTCCCCATCAGCTCCGGAAAACATGATGGAATGTTTAGCAGTCCAAACATTTGTTGATGGACTCCGTGACCACGAGATGTAGAAAACACTTTGATTAGCCCGCCACAAAACATTGGTCAATGTCTTGTCCGCTGCTTTAGAGTATGAGGCAGCTACGCAGGCTTCTGGAGGATACAGTAAAGTGAGAACTGTAAAAGAAGAAAACGTAGAAGATAAACTCGACCAACTAGTTAACGTAATGAAGACCTTTACTGATAAAAAGATGAAGACAAAGACCATCAGATGCTAGAATTGTGGTGAACTGGGGCATGCACGCAGTTCGTGCAAACGCCCTAGGGTCTCAAAAACTGAAGACAACACGCCGCAGGAAAACTAGAGCGGATCGGCCTAGAGGGGGCAGCTTCGATCCGAAACCGTTCTAAAGACCCTCTCATACTGATAGCCTCTTTGAAATGTCGCGATGATAGTGTATACGTAGACGGCGAAGTAAATGGTAAAAAGTATACACTGTTGGTGGATACTGGAGCAACTAGAACCATTATACGACCAACAACCATAAAGAACTGTAAGAAACTTCTACTAACAAGATTGCGACTGCGGACTGCCACAGGTGAAAGTGCCAACATCCATGGGGAAATCCAGGTTCAATTGGGAATTGGTATAGAAAAGTTCACTCATACTGTTATTGTCGCTGATATTGAAGAAGATGTGATTCTTGGAATGGATGTAATGAACTTACATAGATTTTAAAAACAGAGTGATCAAAGTTGGAGCCGAAGAGGTATTCCTACATCCATATGGGGACAGTACCGTGCCAGTTGCTGTACAGGAGGATACGGTGGTACCTGGCAGAAGTAACCGTTATAGGAGCACGGCTTCAAGAAACTATGGAAGAAGGAACACCTGTAATGATGGAACCTTGGAACCACGATGAAGAGGTTGGACGAGGCCTTCTGTTCGGAAAGGGGTTGGTCACGACTGCTAAAGAAATTCCAGTCCGTCTCATAAACGTTAATGATCACCCGATTATCATCAAGAAAGAGACCAGAATCGGAACTTGTGTACCAGTAACTTCCATAATTCGTCAGACAACAACTTCTAATAATTCCAACGATAAATTCGAGCAAATGATTGCAGTTGCTGGTCAATCTCTGAATCAATCAGAAAAGAAGAAAATAAAGGAATTTCTTTGAACGATATCGACACATTTTTGTACCAAAAGGAGGAAAAACAGGAAGAACTTCTGTCGTAAAATACAAAATTGACACTGGTGACGCCAGGCCGATTCGTCAATCGGCTCGAAGATTACGAAAGGCCAAGAGAGAGGAAGCTGAAAGGATTGTTCAGGAAATGAAGGAGGACAGGGTGATAGAACCTTCTAACAGCCCATGGGTCTCTTCGGTAGTCCTGGTCCAAAAAGAGGATGGAACTACGAGGTTCTGTTTGGATTACTGTCAGTTAAACAATGTTACCAAGAAAGACAGTTACCCTCTGCCTCGTATCGACGATATCTTGGACACATTGGCCGGCAGTAAACTATTCTCTACCTTAGACTTGAAGTCTGGATACTGGCAGGTGGAAATGGACCCAGTAGACGAAGAAAAGACAGCTTTTACCACCGGATCTGGATTGTGGCAATTCAATGTTATGCCATTTGGATTATTTAATGCTCCCGCGACATTTGAAAGACTTATGGAAAATGTATTGAGAGGGTTATCCTGGAAAACATGCCTGGTGTATTTAGACGACATCATAGTCTTGGGGAAGACATTTGATGAACATCTAAAAAACTTTTTGGTCCTGAAGTCCTGTGCATATATTATGAAACACCCTGTATTTATATTTGTATTGAACACAATAACAGTAATTACTCGTATTTCTATAAAAAAATCTACAAAATTGTAATTGGTATTACCATAGATTTTTGGGGCAAAATATTTTGTATTGCATTTTCTGCTTTTCCCGATATGTGTGGAGGAGTCGATGGTAAGTCTTCTATATCGCTGATATCAGATATTTTGATAATATAATTATCGAAGTTTACGAAAATTTGACACATAGGAATCTAGGACAAACGTCAAATGCACAGCATGCTTGTTTAAAAAGGTATGGTTTTCTATTGATTAAAAATCTGTATCGTTATGAAAAATCTGTATTATAATGGGTATCATTATGAAACGGATTATGGGCATATAAGTTTATTATTATATATATTTTACACGTGAACACTAATGCACGTAGAATATACTACATCTAGTACAATTATGAATTGTACTAGACTGGCAACAGTGGTTTGGCAACCTTGTTCGTGAGCGGCGCCAATTATTGTGTTTTTTGACAGTTTGAAGGATCTGTTGGCGTGTTGTTTTCTCTTTTTAGCTATATACGTTCGCCAAATCGTCTCACTCGTATTAGGTTCACTCATCATAATGCGCCACAGGCACGGTATACTTAGGTATATTGTGTCACAGAGTCGCGATCAGCCAGAGAGCAATGATGTACCAAAAATATAGATTAGCACGTATGAAAATAAAAATATTAAAATTAAATTTTTATTTTTATGTTATTTATGTAATTTTAAAATAATGTGTTTTTATGAAATTGAACTGGATATTCACTGCACAAATAAACCAATGGAGAAACCGCCCCTGCCTATAATACGTATTGCCTAAACTATAGTCTATTTTTATGTATGAGAGGGTAATAAAACAGCATTTCTAATGCAAAACTTAGTACGGTCTTTTTAAATATTTTTACAGAATAATCTAAATATTTCCTAAAATTGTAATAAATGTACCTGAGCTATTACAAGTTTTGGGTCTTTTATTGGTCCTTTATAAACATAAGCTGTATAGGACAATAGAAAAAGGTTTGGACAGGCCAAAAGCCCTGTGTATTAAAGATTAATTAGGTTAATTAGGTGAAAATATAAATGTATACTCGAGGAATAACTTCAAAAAATATTTTAACTGTCTACTAAAAGAACTAAAAGAATGGATTACGAACGCTTTATTATTTTAATACTCTCTCATACATAAAAATAGACTATAATTAAGTAATATTAACAGACACTTAGCAATTTGGAGGTAAATAATGACAAAATTTCAATTAAATACCCAAATTTAATTATAATATTTATTTAATGTCCATTATTATAGTTACGAATATTTAAATACGTTCCCATACAGAGCTTGATTATTCCTAAAAAATTTAGGTTGATATCGTTTTTCGTTTTCAATTTTGAGATTTTTTTTTAATTTCAACCCCCCTTAACTCCCCTCTTTTTAATCAGATTTTTTAAAAATCAATAGGCTTCGTCCCCTTATAGAGCTTAAGTTTTCCAAAAAAAATTAAGTTGTAATCGTTTTTCGTTTTTGATTATTTTTTTAATTTCAGCACTACCACCGTTAGAAGATGTACGAGATAATTTTAATAGCCTTACAGAAACTTTTCCTGATGAAGAGAGATTTAACGACGTCCTTACATATTTTTTTTCAACTTATATACAAGGTGCCGCCGGAAGAAGTCCACAATTCCATCCGAGAATATGGAACCATTACGATGCCGCTCTTGATGAAACGCCAAGAACGACCAATTGTTGTGAAGGGTTTCACAATGCCCTTAATTCCATATTTCAATGCAATCATCCGAGCATATGGATGCTTTTCGATGGATTGAGAAGAGATTTAGCATGCCACAAACTTACATTGGTGAACTCCCAAGCTAAAAGACTGGAGCCCACCAAAAAGAAATACAGACAACTGTACGCACTTGTAGTCAGTTCTGTAGAAAAGTATCAAGAAACAGATAACAAAGTATCTTACTTAAGGAGAATAGCCATTTTACAGTAGTACGTCTATTAAAGTGCGTTTATCTTTTGTTACATTATTCATTTTTTCGTTTTTAATGTATTAATATGGAATAAAAATATATTACACTAAAAACCTATATGCATTTTACGTTTGTACCTACATTATTATATAAAAAAAATATAAACACAAATCCATGAATATATTAGTACAAATAGTTGGCGATTATAAAATTAAAATAAAATCAACATGGAATTGCAAAAATATTTAGTTTTTAAAGATAAAGTATGTACCTATAAAACTCGCCATTTTACAAAAAATGCAAAATCATTACAACCGGAATTTCATAAATATAATTATTACAAATCGTTAACGATTATAACATTATAAATGATCAAAAATCATAATAGAACTCCAAAAATATTTCTAACCAAAAACCAATTCTATTTATCAATAAAAAATATAGTACACTTGTCTGAATTTTAAAATTAGTGCAAAACAAAAATAAAACCAGTCTTCAGTAACTTACTTATAAACGTAATTTATTATAAAATATTATGAAATAAAGTTATTATGACAGAATTCCAAAAACCTAACGTTATTCTACGAAGATTCTTAAATTTTGAAAAATTTTAGTTTAATTCAGGTTAAGGTCTATAATAAATAGATATTAATGATATAATCTCTAATTACCTTACAATATTCAAAGAAGATTGTTAAATTTGCAAAACTTTTGTCTAATTAATGTAACGGTCTATAATAAATAGATATTAATGATATAATCCCTAATTACCTTACAATATTCAAAGAAGATTGTTAAATTTGTAAAACTTTTGTCTAATTAATGTAATGGTCTATAATAAATAGATAAATAAATGAGTATCTAACATTATTCTAAGAAGATTTTAAATGTTAAAATATTAGGCACAGTTTGAGTTTAATTCGTGTCTTTATTTAAAACGGTTCGACTATCAATTCTTGTAAATGCCTTTAATTATTTTTGAAAAATTTCGTAAATTTCGCCTACTTAAATGAGAAAAAATGAGCTGCCAAACTGTTTAACATCCATGCATATGCAAATGAAATGTTTGTTTCCGTTGCCTTCTGCTTGTTAAAAGACGAAAGTATACAAGTTACTTGAAGCTGCAATGTGGCAACTTATAAAGAAAGAGATTGACGGCATGGGATTTATCCTGAATTAAAAATTATTAACAAAAAAGCAACTAATAAATGAAATAATAAGTACCTATCTTAATTTTATAATCTCCAGTAAAAATAAATGACCACTTGCAAATATTTCGTTTTAATTAAGATACACACTGTATGAGATAAGTAAAATATACACCCCCCATCAGCATAATTTCCTTGCAGCCAAACTGATCGTTATGATTTTTTAAAAGCGGATTTGGTGGAATTAGTCTGTCCTCAACAATCCATAATGGAGATATAAATATAATAAACCGTATTAACTTTATTGTGAAAGTATTTTAAGAATTTTTTTAAACTTGTCTAATATTTTTCACCTGGAATATAACAAACCAAGGTACAGATCTATTCTTTGTATCGTACTTATAATATTTCCGAATAAATAACTGAGTAGATTCCTGAATTATCAGCAAAAATTATGGTAACTACTGTAAACAACGATAATTAAAGTTTTAATCAAACAACAAAAAATTGTAACAAAATATAAATATAAACTACATGCACTTTGGGCTTTTTTTATGTGCGCTTTTTTCCATGTGCGCTTTTATACCCGTGAGCTTTTTTCCATGTGCGGTTTTTTCCGTGTGCGCATATTTCCTCGTGCGGTTATTTCCTGTGCGCTTATATGTCTGTGCGCTTTTTTCTGTGCGCATATTTCCTGTGCGCTTATTTCCTTTGCGCTTTTTTCCGGTCACCCACTTAACCACCTATTTTTATTTAGATTAAATTTATTTGTACTAACTATATTGCTATCTTAAAAGTACTATGTATTAGGACTTCCTATATTAATAAAGTTTCTTTCTTTCTTTCTTTTAAAAAAATGTTTCCCTTTATCTTAAAGATACGCGATAAAGTTAAATAGAAAATTGTTTACCTTAAATCTAAAATTTCCTATTGGTGGAGTGGCATAAGGTATTTCTTGAAAAGCGTAATAAACATTGTGTTTGTGACTTCTTAGTAGATGTCCTTGTACTTGTCCTCCATGGTTTAGTGCAACAACATTCGATAAAATTTCCTGTAAAACAATTAATGTATCTGTTTTGTTATAATTATTGTATATTTATTCATATAGTGGTAGGATTATAAATAAAATACAGTTTATTCAAAAATAAATGACTGTCAACTTTTGGAACATTAGTCACATTTTAAATCGTATTGATATATTGAATATAGGCCAAGAAATAAATACATTAGTCTTACTTTTTTCTAGTCAATGCGACCACCTTCAAATTTATTAAATGTAACTCAATATCTTGAAATACTTAAAGAACAATCATAATTTCAGTAAAAAAGTCGTAAATTACCATTTAAAATTATCAATTGTCAGTAAAGAAAATAAACAATATAGTATATATCTAACTATTATTAGTAATATACATTCATTTATTGTTAATTCATATAATACCTAAATATTCATTTACCTGAGATAATGAAAATCCTAATACAGAAGAAGTAAATATTAAACATTTGTAAATTAATAATCCCATTTTTGTTAAACTAATATAATTATTATTATGTTTATTGATGAAAATATATACGTTTTATACGCAGCACTTAGCAACATATAATGAATGTTATTTGATCCTACGTCTGTTTTAAAACAATCAATATTTCTCATGATATATATCATTAGCTTACAAACTATTATTACCAGTATGAGAAATAATTAAAACAATTATTGTAGAATTTCATATCATTGGCGTATGTAAAAAATATTGAATAGGGTGAATATTCCTGCCATTTTGATAAATAGTTCTTTTAATCGTATATGGTCTCAGATAAATAGTTTTTTAATTAAAACCCCGACTTTAAAATCGTGCAGATGCCTTTAAAAATTGAGATTTTTGATTTTCACACCGATTATCAGATCCTGACAAATTGTACATCGAACTACCCCTAAGGTATCCCCATTCTAACAAAAAAATAATCATAGAAATATCGAACAAGGTAGTAAAGAATTATGCTAAACATACATAAAAAATCTGATGTGTCCAACACATGACTTTCCTATCTAGATATTATAGGCTTTTTCCGGTTATTTTGTATAACCTATTGTAGCATCTCTATAAATGTTTAGAGGATAAACTAAATATATACATTGTCCACATACATCTACCTCGAAACATTTTTCTATAGATATTCATTGAAAACGAAAATACTGAAAAATTTAAATTTAGCACTTTTCCATTACGGTCCATTTTAGAAAAATCATGTATAAACAAAAATTATAGAGATGGATATCGCAAACAACTTTTAGTTCAACAATTTTCATAAAAATCAGAATTTTGCACATTTTGTCAAATTTCTCGAATACGGACCATTTCAGGAAATTTTGTCATAAAGTAAAAATTATAGATAATAATATTAGAAGTAACTTTTATTTGAACAATTTTCTTCTCCAAACATAAATAACATATATTCCATAAAATCTAAAAACATCCTCCCATAAAGTACCCCCCAGATGTTCCGACTTTGTCCAAAATCTAATCATTTCACGACAGGCCGAAATGAACCTTAAGTTTAAAATTTAATGTTTTTTTCTTTATCCGTTTTTGAGTTTTCTTCAAAATTCAAAATTTACACTTTCTCAAATATCTCGAATACGGTCCATTTCAGAGAAATTATGTATAAAACAAAAATTATAGAGAATTACATTACAAGCAACTTTTATTTAAGACAATTTTTATAAAAAATTATTTTTTTTACATTTTGTCAAATTTCTCGAATACGGATCATTTTAGGAAAATTTTGTATACAATAAAAATTATAGATAATTATATTAGAAGTAACTGTTATTTAAAGAATTTTCTTCTCCAAACGTAAATAACAGATATATTCCATAAAATATAAAAATGACCACTTATAAAGTACCCCCCAGATGTTCCGACTCTGCCCAAAATCTAATCAGTTCATTAGACGCTGGAACAAAGCTTAAGTTTAAAATTTGGTGTTTTTCTGTTTATCGGTTCATGAGTTATGCGACCTACAGACACACAGACACACACAGACATCATCGCGAAAATAGTCAAAACGGATTCAGGGGACCTCAAAACGGTAAAAATCCGTCGAAAACTCGAAGTCGAAAAAATCATGATTCCTATTCGCTCCGTGCGAAGTCATGGAAAGGGAAGCAAAAGCGATACTAGCGCTAGCTGCGGATAATTCGTGCATTTTAGGGGGATATTTTGTAATTTTGGCATATCAAATACACGTATACATTTTACTTTTTTTCAAAAAAGTAGGTAAAAACAACACAATAAGCAACCGGAGTTGCTGTGTTGAAAATTGTACAAATACTAGCAAAAAAAAAACAGTGAAACTTATATAACAAATTTCACTAACAAAGTGGAAATTAAATCAAAGAAATAAATGGATAGGTGTACAATAAGAAGAAAAATTACCTTTATTTTTGTGATAATAACAGTAATGCTGGAAATAGTAGACATCAGAAACTAGAAAGTTTTTAAATAAACAATAAATTATCATTTTACGATGTTCTTTAATATCCCTTTATTCTTAAATGTTCATTCAGCAAGGACTAGATTTGATTATAATATTTGGCTGGTATGCAATTTTGTGACTTACTGATCGGAAACCAGTTTAAATCATTCATTCTATGTTTTCTTTAGAACAAAAATGAAAATATAAGTAGCGATCCTTTTTATACATTTTAACTTCACGCTATTATAAATGGTTTCTTCAATGACAACTTATTAGACTTAGGCAACTTCTCATACATTTTCCAGTAAATACTGTTGCCTGCCTATATTTTATTATTGATTTTTAATGATTATACACAATTTTCTTCAATTTAAGCTTGAAAAATATATAATAATAATAAATTAATGTTTTAATTGTTTTATAAATCCATATACTTTTATTAAAACTAACATATATACTTTTTATTTACGAATTCTATTAAAAATTGTATTTGTCAGTATAGGCAGAAATACTCCTTTAATACCAAAACAAATTGGCGCTGCTGTCGCGCACGGAGCGAATACTTTCCTTATATCTACATACAGATAGGAAAGTAAAAATGAAGAGTTTGAGAATTTTCTCATGGACCCAATTATTAGATTTTGACCAAATTAATGTGGGACCACCCCTAAAGTACCCCCTTTCTAACAAAAAAAAATCATTGAAATCGGACACCGTGTTAAGGCTGTTCTACCGCTTTTCGTTCGGTCGAAATTGAGTCTTCTGCTTCCGGAATTGTCGGTTTAGTCATTTTAACCTGTCAGATTAAAACAAGAAAACCGACAATTCCGAAGCAGAAGCGGATGATTAAAACGCACCTATTAAAAATATTGCGCCAAGATGTAGGCAATACGTAATAAGGGTTCAAAATGGCGGAGTTTTCTATCTTCTTTTAAAAGGCACTCAAAAAGCTGCGCAGTGCGACCATTCTCCGTATAGTAAAAGAAAATCAAAGTATGTCAGATGGCGCACCAGTCGCGAAAAGTATGTTCAGTTGCATAAACCAATAAATATTACAGAGTTACTTCCCGATCGATATATAGAACTGCAAACAACACGATCACATACTTTAAGGTATTTTTCGCGACATAAACGGATATGTTGTTCGATCATGTTCGTCTATCCCCCACCACATATAGTATATGTTGGCGCCAAAATGGAAAATCCATGCTGTTTTGAAAGTGGGCAGTGAGTTGAAGTAACAATTTTTTATTACTTCAATTACTTATGTGTGTGTAAACTACGCGATTTTTCCTAAGAGTTTAATTATTTTAGATTAATTATTAATGTACCTATTGTCTAAAAATTACAACAAATTCTACTTGTGCTATTTATATTTACAAACTTTAATTATTGAATAATTTCGTATCTTTCCTCTACTTCAATTTCAATCTTATTTAATTTAAATTTTAAAATTAAAGCCATGTTTTAGCTTTATATACCGTTTCTAGTCATTTGTCAAACACATGAATTAACATAACCGCCTGTGGATGAGATCATGTTCGAGTATGCTAAACAATGACGTCATTACAACCTCCCCTCCGGTCCTTGATGTCGGCCAAAACGGAAGATCATGCCTAAATAACATAATCTACCATAAACGTTTATGTTGGTTTATGCCGCGAAAAATACCTTTTTATTATCCGAGTTGCACAGTGTATAAACTGAAACATTGAGATCAAAATTGCCGACGCAGAGTGAGCGATCTGATTCTTTAGCTGTAAACTGTGTCACAGGGTTCAAAATGGCCGCGCCCTATAAGCTATTTTTGGCGTGTTCCCGTTGATAAACAGTGACACAGAAACCGTGACATGTCAAATGCCCCCACTATTATGTCTCGGTTTCTAAAAAAATCTTCGCAAAAATGAACCGGTTTACGTCAATCGTCAACGTTTTAGATAAACGAGGTTATGTTATGCGTATTTAAAAGGTATTTTACAATAAACAAACTGTGAAAAATCTAATATTGAGGAAGACAGACAATTTTTCTTTTAAATAACAAATTTAAATAGAATTTAGAGACAGTTCAACGAAAACTATTATACATAAAATAAAAATATGAACGCACAAAATAAAATGCAACTCTGACAGCTACCAAAAATTCCAAAACAAAACGGTATTACAGTATTACAGAATGCTATCAACATCAACTGTCACTATCAACCGTTTGTTCACCACCTCAAGAGGCCGGGAACAGATTCATCACGGCGGTAGCAAACAATGACGTCAGTGAATGACGTCATTACACTTCCCCTTGAGCGGTTCACGTCGCGAAAATGATGCGGGTAATACCGTTTGATCACCGGGAGTTCGCCAAAAATTGGTATATGTTGGGCGTGTCGGACCTCTCTCTTTTCTCGTATAGTAATCAAAGTATGTGAACACGATACACAGACTAACGGCACGGCATAAGAAACAATCGGCAGGCTAACTTGTCTTGGCGGCAACTCTACGCGCACACCGCCATTTTGGGGTCCAACCTCTCAATCAAGCCAGTGGCGTCACTGTCGTCGTTTATATCGACAAAAACAAACAAGTTGCAGCAGCTCGGAATCAGTAGCGTGGGTCTTAAATGTATTTTGTTTGTGATATGTGTATTATGTAGTTATTGTTATTTTTTTAGAATTATAGATATTTTTTAAAACTTTTTATATAGTAGTTGTTTTCCAGTGTTAATTTGTTAACTTTTACGTGTTTTAGTATGTCTGGGCAAAGTTGTGCAGCAAAAAACTATATGAATAAACTGTATTAAAAGATTTTTTCGGTTTCTTAAAGATAATATTAGGTAGGTATGTATGGTATACTTTTAAAAAAAATTCTAGGTTATGGGTCAGTTTGTCAGTTATAAACCTATTAGTAAAATGTAGGTAGGTGCCTAGTTAACGTCATGTAAAGTTTAGCGTCAATGTATATTTACTTATCCAGAATAAGGTAAATTTATTATTTATCACCTACAACATCTAAATAAGGGAATTTAGTTCAAGAGCTAACCTAAACTTTAAGTACACTGTTCTAATGTCTGAAAACATTGAAGAATTAAAGAAATTT